TACAGTGTACATTTTATTTTCAATATACAGTTTGTCATGTGAAATGAATGCTGATTTGCCATTTTTCTTGGCATTGATCATAACCGGAAGTAGAATTTTTCTGCGGTCCTGAGTCAGTTTAGTAAATTGGTCGCTAACGCTGATCATCGGTTTTACCGGTGCTGTATGCTTGTCTCCATCCGTCGGTTCCGCGATTTCCGATGCCATAACGTCGGGAGTCTCCGATCCACCGGTGTCTGACACCTCGGGCTATTTTCACCGGGGGGGTTTAAATTTTTTATAATTTTTGGGAACTTCTTCCATGTTTTCCTTTTGCTTTCTCCTTTTCTAAATAAACTTATTTTGGGGTAGGGTTTAACATTTAAAGGGCCCAAATTGGGCTCGAAATTTTTCGATAGTCCCTACTTTTTCTCCAAACCTGTTTCGCTCGTTTCAAATTTATTTGTTTTTTATGAGCATTTTGTATTTCAAAAACTTTTTACTTTACATAATTCAAGGGACAAGCTTTGGGTACCCAATTTTTTAGTTTTTGGGGCGCTGCTTTTTTGATTTTCCTCCCGGGGGAAAAACCCTTGGAAAACAAAAGGGACATCTCATAGATTGTTTAAACGCAAAATATCTTTTTTTCTTCTGGGAAAACCGGGTTTTTTTGGATTCAAAAACCGGGGGCGGGGTTTAAATTTTGCAACTTTAGCACGTTCTGCTTGAAGAGCTTTATCAAGTTCAGAGCTTTTGGATTTTAGTTCTTCGCATGTTTGAGAATCAAAAGCTCTACTCATTTCTGCATCAGTTACTCGCGCATCTACATCTCGGACGGAACTTTCACGGGAAGTTACTCGGGTATCGATATTACTTAACTTTGTAGAAAGGGTAGATAACTGTTTTTCAATGGCGTCTAACTTGTTTAATCGTTTATCCAAAGACATCAGCTGGTCAAGCACTGACTTTTGAAAGTGTTCATTGTATTGGTTGCTAGTCTGGGGGCCACTTGATTGAAATTGTGGAGACGCGTTTATATATTGAGTATGGGGTGGCGTATTCTGTTGGGGTGTATAGAAAGCTCCAGACTGAGTTTGGTAATTGTTCATGTTTCCTATAGAAGCCATGTTCATTGGTTGAAAATACCCTGGTTGAGGTTGTGAAGACATTGTGCCACTATGGGATATACGTGAATCAGGGCGCTTTTCCGGTAGTGCATTTACATTCACATTGTCAGGAGAAACCAGCGCATTTTTTCTCTTTTTAGTTTTGTTATTGTTTATATTTTCCTTTTGAGGGATACATTTTTCCTTCTTTTTTGTAGGCATTTGTGCACAGATAGTGGCAAATAGACGTGTTACATTTTACACCATATTTTACTATCTTTGTTTTTCCATTTTCTTTGTGAAATTCCTATAATTAAGAAACTTATTATTTGTAAATTAAAAAGTACCGAGTTTTATGAAGATAATATTGAAGGAATCGCGTTAAAAATAACTATTTTTACTAAGAGTTTTATTTTTACTAAGACTTTTATCAAGATAAAATGATTGATCATTTGCTTTTAATAACTTTTATGACAGTTATATTTTTTAAATAAAATTTAAATTGTACTGACCTCTGGATTCATTGATGGAAAAAAAATCTTTTTGAATATTAATTATGTTTGAAATTATGTTTTTGTACAATAGAAAGGCAGTATCTTGATACTTCGGAAAATCTTCTATTATTCAGATGAGTAAATTGATCAAGTGTTTGTAATTATTTTTTATAACGGTCGGGCATACATTGGTAAGTGTGCTGTTATTTTGTAAATGCTTACTACTAAACACCAGGGGCATTCTATTTGAAAGACCTTGCAAACACTAACCTCTACAAAATACAGTGTGGTGTAAAACCATTCAAAAGGTACCATAAACAGCACTATAAAGGAAATAACACCATTTTCAACCTCATATTTCAAAATTTTCTCAGTCTATGGGAGGGGACACCCCTCCGAGACCCACCCCAATTACATATATTTTTCTTTATTCCATATCGTCTAAATATTTTCAACAAAATTATAGTGTACACACATATAAGCAAAGTACATTAATAACTACTGAGCTACTTATAAGATGAGCTATAAAACTCATCAATTACAAATTTTGTCACATGAACAAGATGCTGGCCTAATCTTCAAACATGCACAATTTTTGCCTGTTTTGTTATTTTTATCAAAATCTTCCACCCATATGTCAGAAGGAAACCATCTTCTGTAGCCGCCCCTGAGATAAATGTATAGTAGAATCTGCTGTATAGTAGAATCTTTCTTTCCTATGACTAGATATCAATTTACCAGTTAAATATAATGTGACGACGTAAGTGGAAGCATGTATAGAGTAGTGTGCAATAACCTCGGATTGCCCATGAAAGCCCGAAGGCTTATTTCCAATGGGGTCCTTGGATATATACTTACTAGAATATACAATATAAAAACAAAAAACTTGAAAAAACAAAACTTTGGAAACTGGAAGATGTCATATAAATAAAATATTAACCTTTATTATTTCCTTTAACTTTGCTAAAAGGAAAACAATAAAAATGAAGATCAATATCTAGTCATACTAGTGAATTTAATTATGATTTCCTAACTGTTCTAGTAAATGGGCCTTTACTGAGCTTTTGTCATCTCCTATGTTATTAAGAATATAAAAGAAATCGCTTTAGTGTTTTTGAAGTAATTTTCTTCTTATTCTATGTAGTCAGCAGATTCAACGTACTGTACATCATGTGAGATACTGCTAAGCAGTTAAACGTAGATCTATAGTAGAATCTGCTGACCAGTTTAACTTGAAGTGAAAACTGCTGATCAGTCAGATATAGAGAGAAAAATAATACAGTTAGCCAATAGAGGATCATAGCCAATAACGGATCAGTCAGTAATTTAACGAAATATTCTTCTACCAGTTTTGAGCTTAAAAATGTTTTTACCTAACAGGCATGTGCATTAGGATGTTAGCTACTTGACAGCGGGAAAAAAATGTAAACATCCGTGTAATTCACATCAGTTTCACTCAGATGCTTAACCAAGCGTTTCCGTTCCTCGTGAAATTGAGCGCCACTGACAACACATATTTGAAATTGTTGCCTTATTTATCGTAAAAACTCACAAGATATTTAATCAAAGCTGGTAGATATTTGATGCCCAATATGTTAACTACCTGCAACACCAACCGTTTAAAAAATGCTTGAGGAATCATTTTGATAGCGCTATTCAAATGAATTGCACCGAGTTGTCCATTAGCGGATCATGCAATTTTATAGGAAGTTATCAGTTATCCAACCTGTTATAGAAAATATTTTTTATAGAAAATGTTGGTTTGTATACCAAATAAATAAATAAATAATATAAAGTTTAAATGATTTATGTTAATATTACAACTGAATTTTGCAGTCCATGCCAGAAAAAGTATTTTATGCAGTATAAACAGCTGCAACAGTGAAATACTATTCCATGCTACATGTACGTAGGTATCCAGTTTTTTCCAGTCTATATATAACATCATAAATCATTGTTATTAAATAATCAGATACAAAGAACTTTTTTTTTTCATATTCAGCTATTTTATTTTATATGACATATTTATTGAGACTTGTCCTCACCCAGCGTCTGTGTCCTGATTTCAGTGCAGTAATTTTACAGTAAAATTATTTTTTACATATACATTTTTTTCTTAAAGCATCAACTTCAAACTTCAAATCATAATGTTCCTTATCATCAACCACATCTTATGTGACAATGTTGATAACTCTGGCAAAACTATGGCAACCATTTGTCTTGTGGTTGTTGCTTACACAAATCGTTGAGAGCAGTTATCTAGTTCACCATTATTACAACCATAACATTACTATGTTAACCACAATCATTCAAGTTGCCTCTTGAATTCTTTACTTAGTGGTACCCTTTACACTCTGATATTCAGGGGTGACATATATTTGTGCAATATTTTTTTTTGTTCAGGACGAATTTGACAGAAAATTCGTGTTTTGAGACAATCCCCCATTCGTATGTCACGTGATCCGCTAATGGCTGATTTGACCCGTTATTGGCATGTTTACTATATGTTTGAAAAAGGTAAATGCACCATGATGCATTCAAAATACAAATCCACAAGAAGTATACAGTAAAAGAGGAACAAAAATACTTCAAATCTACATACATTTATTTAAGAATTAAAAAATCATTCGTTCATTAACACTAAAAGTTTCACTAGTGATCTGTTATTGGCCAACTCACTGTATTTTGCTGTGGTGAAATTCTTATTCCTTTTCTTTCATGCATACTGCTGAACTTTACAGGATTATTAATTATCATCATTTTCTGTTCCAATATCCTATCTTTGTACATTTTGTAATACGATCTATGACTAAAATTTGAAATTTGGTGTCTTTTGTATGAGTAATCTGGGACAGAAAGATACACTACATTACACTATTAGTGCCAGAAGTAATTATTTAAACATTTTTTGTCTACATAACATCGTTTTCATATGAAATCTGTTTGACTCAGTGTATTAAAGTTTTACACATTTTATTAAAATGCCCAGGCTGCATGTTACGTATATAGTTCTTTAAGGTAGTCTTACTGTAATTATTTCCCGCCAAAAAATCTAACATCGGCCAATGACGTAATTAATCCGTCATTTTTTCACAATCTTCGATATTAAATAATTTTTAACCGTTCATAACCGGAATTTAGTATATAGCGATAAAGGATGAGTGATTGTTAATAATCTAATGTCCAAGATTTTCTATATCATCAGCTATTGTGTCAGCATTTTCCCCCACCTATTTTCTATTCTATTTTCTATTTCATTATGTTGTTAATCTCATTAAATGGAGGAAATGCAAAACTTTTATCGTCTTTAGAAACATTAGCTCACAGGTTCCTCGAGATCTAGTACTTTACAACCCTAATACCGTGCATATTGAGAACATGTTCTTTCCGAGATTCGTCAATCAAAAATATAATACGAAGCTACGGTTATATTGCAGTCACTGCTGGCTTTGAATGAAATGTTGATGAAGCTGAGGATGTTGAAAAAATGAATCGACGGCGACAGGATGTTGCAACCGTTCGTATATCAGACGAGGAATATTCAAGACTTGAAAGTAAATTTGAAGCGCTGAAGAATGAGGTAGATTTTTATACAATTTCCATACAGAATATAACAAACTACAGAGATTTGGCATAGGTCTGACAGATCATGGGCATTCTCCTGGATTTGACCCCTATGACTATGTATATTTCAGAAGTAAAACTTGTATATAATACACTAAAGGAAACGAAATGAACCTTATATATACTCCTGGTTTAGACCCCGGGGTCTATTCCAGGATATAGCCAGATCATGCAGATCTGTGCTATAAAATTATCTTAAAACGTGTTTTAATTCAATTTTCCCATGAATTGATTTTATTTATAAGTAAATCAGGTTCAATAAAAAAGATCAATACAATGGGAAAGTAGGCAAAGTCTGTGAAAGTGAAAGTAAAATTATCATTAACAGATTAAAATTTAAATCGACCGAGGGTGAGGTAAACACCATCATTCTTTAAATTTTTTGACTTGACTATTTGAAGAATAGCAGGACCTTAATAGGACCAAGGAATTGGTGTCAGCGTAACATTTTGGTTAAACTTTTGTATGCATCATCATATCTCAACCTCTAACAATGTCCTCGACTATAGTGTTTGAAATTTGCATTTGTCTGAATCTGAATCTGATGTGACTGTAAAATCACTGAATATATCGTATAAGTATCTAATCTCACACCCAACCTATTCTCAGACCTTTCATTCATGAGCTGTTATTTTTTTACTAGAAGAGACCATGATGTTTTCAGTTTGTGTGCATAAAAGTTTAATTTCTGACAGACATGCCTGCTGCTGTTAAATGAAAACAGTGCATAGAAACAAATATTTACATTACATATTTAATTATTTAGCCTAATGTCATACAAATTGCTATTACCTTTGTAAGTTCTGTAAATACATCATTATCTTTTTCATAATTTGTGAAAATGAATATCAGAGAAATAAATATATATAAAAGCAGGTACCTGCATCATGTAGGGTACTTCATTCTCATGCGTTAGTCAATTAACAATCACTTTATTGGTTTAACTAAACAGTAGAATTTCAGAGATACTTGAAGGGGTTTGAGATTAGGTTCTTTATTTTAAGAGGCCATGTCAGTTTTACAAAAGAGGGTTGTGCCTTTCCAAGATGGAAATAGAGCTTTTTTAATTGTTGAATTTCAGCTAAATTTTACAGAAATGTAACATACAGATTAAAGTGTACATATGTAAAGAAGTTTTACAGAGATGTATCTTTATTTATACGAAAAGACTTCTTGAATGCTTATACTGGTTTGAGAACTGGTTTGTCCACGATAAGCATCTTTTTGGTACCAAAGAATAATGTTTAGTCGTTGCTCGGCCCAAGTAGGTGTGCTCGATTGTCTCATTAAAATAATGACCTTAATAATCATAATAGGAAAAAGGCAAAGCCTCAAAGGGAGTTTGATTTACTTTTACGGTGAAATAATGTAAAATAATCATTTATTTTACATTTTCTGTTTTAAAACTGTCATTCGGTATAATCTATTTTATACACTGCTTCCGTTTGTTCTAGTTCCCTGTACTATTATGGTTCCTAAAAAAGTTCGCAGAACACTAATCTACGCATCCGTTTTCAGTCAGAATACCTCTGCTTTTTTTGTTATAAGTTGTGATGTGTCAATTCAGTACTTCTGACAAAAGTTTTCAAAACCATCACTATCTGGCAGGTACTCACGTTACCGTAAAGTGTTTTGAGCTTGCTATTAATCAATCATATTCTGTGGTATGCTGTATTTTTCGGAGAGAATTGAGTGGAAGCGTGAATATCATTCTTTCAATTATAGTTAGATAAATTTTGTGGAATTTCCAATCAATCATGCTTAGTAAACAAAATGGCCATTATTCCCCAAATCATTTCACAGTATCAATTATATCAGTTGAGCAAGTCAATAAGCATTTGATATATTATAAACACTGAACATTATCTTCTGACTGTAACTATTTGGCACTGTTTTTTATGCTTCCCAAAGGGTGAGCATATAGTAGCCGCTTTGTCTGTCCGGATGTCTGGATGTCCGCTTTTCTTGTCCAGGACATAACTTTGAAACAACAAGAGGTATCAACATGAAACTTTGTAGGTAGATCAGGGCTCATAAAATTTCTTTTAAGATAATGTCATGATAATGAAGTTAAAGCTTAACCTTTTACCCCATGAGCATATTGCGAAAAATGGCCGCTTTCATTGAAAAGCCTCCTGTAACCTGGTAACAAGTTCAAACTTCTATGAAACTATGAAAAATGCTTCAATACTGATGAAACTTGGCACAAATGTTGACAACACCATTGCCTCTGTAACAGCATGCTCAATTGTAAATTTCCTGTTACCATGGCAACGGGGGGACGTCTCAAAATTGCCAAAAATCACTATTTTGCATTGTTTTTTTCCATCAAAACTGATTTCAAAGTGCTGCAACTTCTCAATGAATTGAGATAGAGTAAACAAGTTCAAACTTCTATGAAACTATGAAAAATGCTTCAATACTGATGAAACTTGGCACAAATGTTGACTACACCATTGCCTCTGTAACAGCATGCTCAATCGTAAATTTCCTGTTACCATGGCAACGGGGGGACGTCTCAAAATTGCCAAAAATCACTATTTTGCATTGTTTTTTTTCCATCAAAACTGATTTCAAAGTGCTGCAACTTCTCAATGAATTGAGATAGAGTAAAAGGCTTTTCAGTGTTGGTTACTAGTTACCCTAAGATCAACCTAAGGCCATTTTTAGCCTGTCACTTTTTTTAACAACATTTCTCAAACGAAAACCAGTGTTTGGGGCCTAAATAGGGCATTTTTTCACTGTTTGAGGCCTCAAAAAAGGGGGGGGGGGGGCAAAAAGCCGTCAAAACACGCTTATATCAGGGAAAAGGTTAATGAGGGTCCATCCGCCCTTTCGGGCACAAAATGCAGCTTGTGCTGTCGAGTACGGACCCCGGACATGTCACCAGTCATGTCCTTAAAGAGTTAATTTTGAAGTACAAAGTGATGATAATTTACCTCCATGCAATTTCCACGGAGTATTAGCCAAAGATATGAATTTTTAGCCAAAAGTAGGTCCCTGTACGGCGGTCAATGAGAACCTAAATGTACAGTAACCTGTGACAATAGGAAAGGTAAGCCCTGAAAAGGGCTGTTGGTGCCAGCAAAAGGCCTGCCGTTAAAGCCGTCTAACCGCTCACGCACCCTAGCACACCGTCCTCGTCGACCCATGGGCCTATACGAAGAATATGTAAAATATTTACTGTAAACATTTGTGCACATTATATTTAATCACTCAAATTATATACATTCATTTCTTATTGAAAAATTTGTATGAGAAATTAAAGAAAATAAATTTCTAATTACCTCCATTTATGAAATGTTAAATTCAGTAATATCTTTATAAATAATGCTTTATTTTGGGACACACAAAATAAAATATGGACAAACCTTATATACATTTGCCCTTTTTAGATGCAGATATGAACATGATGAACATAGTCAGTTTAAAATTATCCCCAGTTTAAAATTATCCCTAGACAAAACTGCGTGCTTCCGTGGTCGAGGGGTTAGAGTCGATGACTTCTAAGTAGGGATGGCAACGAGTAACCGGTTAACCGAGTACTTGATCGAACGTCTGAATATCGGTTAACAAAATTGATATTCGATTACTCGGAAAAAATGTATAATTTCTATTTTATTTGCTATTTAGACAGTTTGGTGTATCCAATTTGTTCAGAAATTCGGAGATGTGCATATACCTTCATAAATACCTGTTAAATACAATCACAACTTCCTTGCAGAGGTGCGAAAATGATACCATAAATTTAATGAGGCGATCAACAGTTTGACACGCGCACATGTGTCGCTTACGTCATCCGGCCTCTTATGATATTTAGTAACCTTTGATTGTGTAACACAGTGAAGTTTGTACCCGAATCTTGTTTTAAGGTAACATTTTTGAAAACAACAAAGGGCCGTACAATTATTAAGGTAGTATTTAGACCCGGTTAAACTTTTGTTGCCGCCGATTAGTCTATTTTATTACAAGAAGAAAAAGATGTTTCAACTGTTAAACATGTTTTAAACTTGATATTGCATTAATAAATATGTTCTAAAATTTAATTTTAATTAATTTGTCTCCTTTGCAGTCCTTTCTATAGTTACAAATTCTATGAATGTAAATAGAAAACGAAAGTAGCATGCGGACGGTGTTGATATTGTGTGATAAACTTTGAAGATAATTGGAAATCGTCCGAGTAACCGAGTACTCGATCGGAAAAATGACCGAGTACTCGAGTATTGATTTTGGTATCCGTTGCCATTCGTACTTCTAATCCAGTTACCTCTCTCAGGCGTGGTTTCGATCTGCGGGAGATGCTCTGGTAGTTTAGCGCGGAGGAAGGAAGTCTAGTACTGGTGTAACTCTCCAGGAACGATGGTTAGGAAACTACATGTACCAGCCTATATGACTGAAATACTGTTGGGAAAAGGCATAAAATGAAACAAACAAACAATTATTAACAAACAAATCCCCAGACAAAGGCACCTGCTAAGTGTAATTATGTTTGCAACAGTTTACTTTTATTAAAAGGTAGTGGATAAATTCTGTAGGTTAGAGGCTTATTATATTTATATCAATTATTTCTTTCATTGTTAGACACTGTTTCAAAATTGGTAAAGATAAACTATTAAGAATCTATCATGAACTGGAAATATTTTTGGTATTTACTTTTCTATTCAATTATTAAGTTGGTATGAGTAAGGAATTTAAAAAAAAAATCTTTTATCTATGAAAAAGATCAAAGTCAAGTCAAGTCATGTCAAATATTTTATTGGCATAATCATTATACATGTACATGTTACTCCTAATAACATCGAGGCAGTATGATTTTCAGTGCAGAAAAATATGATAAATACAAGTGTAGGATGTACATATTTCTCAGTACATTTACAATACTTGAAACAAAATTATAAAAAAACTTTAATTGAAGAGATTGTATCTCTTTCTTGTATCATGGTCAGAATAATTCAAGGTAATCCACTGGGGTACAATTTAAGCTCAAAAACATAGAATTTGAATTTATTTCATAAATCAAGTCAAGTGGGGCATTTAAAACAGAAAAAAAATATCCAAAGGAAAAAATATCAAGAAATATATTGAGAATAGTCATTATATACGGAAATACAATGTACTAATGAAAAATGACACTCTCTTTCAATTTTTTGGTACATGTACATAAATGCTGGTTACTTACAATATTTGAGTTCTTTCAATGTTCCATTATCTACTGTACCCTTTTCTAAACTATAATAGCTAATTTATATGGGAACTGTCTCGGAAATGAAACGTCTTCATTGTGAAAATATCCATGGAGTAAAACATTTGACATTCAATGATGAAACAGGCAATACATGGTAGACATAATTATTATTACTTATAATTTACAAAGTAAACATATCATGCTGCTTTCATGTTGTTAACATCAATTTATCAAAGAATTTCCATGAATCAGGATAACATAGCTTTAGTCTTTCACAAGAAAGTAATGCTTTTGCAACACTGTCTTGTTCAACATATGCGATAAATATATACATGACATATGATATACAGTCATTAGTTTTCTATCAAATCCATAGAATTATGTTTCATATAGCATGAAGCCAGAGAAGGTTGTCCAGACATTGTGCACATAAAATGGTGCACTCCCATAAGGTCCATGTTTTACTACTTTGATTTCATCACCTTTGTTCAAGTGTAATACGATCATGTTACTATCAGCTCCGTGTGTCATACCGTGAACATACAGCCATAGTTTAGTTGTACCATTGTGCTGCAAACACATTTCTAACCTGCGGCTTTTCCCAAGAATATGTGTATAAAACATGTAGACACCAGACACGGGAGCTGTGAAGAGTCCAGTTTTCGGAGAATAAGCATTACCGTTGTTGTGTATAATGTTAGAGAAGACTAAAGTGTGCCAGGCTGGCAGGTTTTCAACACTGCCAGAAAGTTTGGCAGAAAAAGATATATGTCTTGTTCCAACGTTTTCTCCCATTTCTCTCATATTTTTATCAATTTTGTTATATTTTGTCTCCATGTTGTTGACAATTCTGTCAAAGTTTGTTGATATTTTAGCAATTTCATTTTGGTTATTCTGTATTTTAAGTTCTACTGCAGATTCCTCCATGGCGTTCTGATAAGTCTGTAACTGCTCAATGTCCTCAAGCATTTCTTCTTTTTCCTCTCCATATGAGTCTTTCAGTGTTTTAAAATCTTTTTGTGTTATTTCAAGGCTTTCTTTCAGCTTATTTAAATGAACCTTGTGAACATTTTCACTTTTCTGAAGAGTTTCAATTTCTGCATGTTGTTTATTTCGGGCTTCTTTCTCATTTTTGAATGCATCCATCAGTAATGTTGTGGTCTGTACTATCCTAGTTAGATTCTTCTTCAAATCTGCCACCCCAGCGTTCTCTTCCACACACACATTGTCACAGACAGCAACACCAGAAGTATCAGCTTCAGCAGATTCATCACCAGTTTTACTAATTTTATTTATTGGGGATTCTTCATCATCTCTGATAATGTTAGATATATTCTCCACTATATCTGCCACAATAATCTTCAAATTGTCTATTTCAGCTTGCATAAGAGTATTTTCATATGCCTGAAGTCCAAATTTCTGTTCCAGAATACCAAGTCTTTTTTCTAATTTATCTATTTTCCTTCCTTCACATCCAGCTAAGAATAAAAACATTGCTAAACACAGACTTATCAGCACAGCCATTTTGTTTCTAAATGTTGCAGTGATTCTTGTGTAGTGTGTCTACAAAAAATAAAACTTCCCACAAAATTTTTGTGCACTTACTGTAAACTAGAGAAAATTCTACTGAAATAGTTTTTTTTCTTGTTTTTTTTTTTTAAAGAAAGTAAAATTACCAAAATGAGAATTTAATGTTTGAATTATATCACATGATTTATTTACTGCAAGTTATTGCCTAACATTCTTGGAATTCTTGGAAAGTAACATCAACAAGTATATATCCTAGACTCTTACTTGTATACACAAGAAGGTAAAACTAAAACAGAAACCTGGGATAATGTTACTATGTACAGTAACACTTGAATTATAAAACAACACCCAGCATCTTGTTGTTTATAGTATATTACATTGCTCTCACATTTTCCTCATTCTCTTAAACTTTGTACCATAAATTAGGAAGTCAGTGCTAAAGCATTAAGTATTGTACAAAATTTTATAATCTAATTGGTAGCCAGCCTGAGCCAGGTCATTTTACATGTCGGGAATCAAGGAAGAATCAACTGCTACACTTTTAGTGTTTTTTTTCTGTACTATAACATGATATAAAGATATAATAATGCATTTATCCATTGTAACCTCAGCCCCCACCCCTACAGCAGTCAGGAGGGTCAGCAGGGTAAATGAGCAATTATATTAAACCTTCCCCACATAATCATATCATATTTTCCTACTCTATTTTGCTATTTCCACACTATCTTTTTGTAACATTGATCTACTCCTTCAATTTATACTGATATTTGTTACATTTGTATGACTCACTGATAGATATACTCCCTCAATTTAAGGATACTAATGAGTTTATATGCTGATATTATATAGAATGACATGTAGATATTTATATTTTACAGTTTACAGCATGTAGGAGAAAGTTGGACAGTAAATGTGAGGCTCTGTTGATATTAAGTAAGGAGTTAGATCAATGTCGTAGTGAACGAGACCAGTTTAAATTGATGGCCGAGCAGCTACGGGAAAGATGTCAAACACTGAAAACAAGTCTCTCTGGCAAGGTGTGTATTCACAATTTAAGCAATTTTGTTTTGAATTGTTGTGGAACATCATATGTACCCACGTTTGACAGGGCTTAATTCAAGGAGGTATGGTAAATCTTGCATTGAGGTCACCATAGTTTAACTTTAAAAATATTAAAAATTAAGCTATACATTGTAATTTGGATGTCTGATACAGTCACCTATCGTTATCTCGGCATTGCTTTTCTCAATATTTTGTTTCTCAATGAAATTTTCAAAGTCCCGATTTTCTTCCGTCTTTATTTATATTGGAAATATGATTGTGTTTATTTAGATATTTTCATTTCGATATTTTCAGTATCTCGAAGTAAAATTTCAGCCCCACACTAAAATCCCTTGTATATTAACTAATGACTAAGTCTAATAATTTTTCGTATATCCCCTGCAGAGATGTGAAAAACTAAAACCAGACGATAATCATTCAATAGCGCTTGTCATAATGATGATAAATGTTAATCCAATTAGCGTGTTGATAGACTTATGTCCAAAATGAGTGAATTTTTCGTTATTTATGATATATTCGAACACAGAATTAAATTCAATAGGACTCGTACATGTATGGCCCAAAGCAATATCTGTAAATAAGTACCAGAATTTACCTGTAATGTTCAGTTTATAAAAAGAGTGTGGCAATCCTTTTGTATTTTAGGCATATTCATATTTAATCCTAAATATTTTTCAATATCAACTGTTGGTCAATCATCATTATAACTGTCAATCTTTTAAAATTTATAGTTAAATCAGTTCAACTTGACAATGAAAAAATGAGCATAATGTCACTTATGTATAAATATGTGAAAGAATATTGTTTGTAAAGTTTTATGAAAATTATTTTGGTGTGACTGGTCTGGGCAGACAGAAAAATAGCTCATTACTTTGATTAATCAACTTTTTTAAACTTCATCTACTGAGCATAATTATTGTCTCATCAAATAAATGTATATACACAAATGTATGAATAAATAAATTATCAGCACATGCAATATCATCACTAACATGGTTTAAAATAGGAAAGAATAAATAGAATATTTTGTTAAGAAACCTTCTGCTTATTTAATAAATTAATGTTTATAAAATAAAAGATCGAACTCTTCATAAAAGTATTTTTATGATCATAAAGAAAACTGTGGAGATTCCCTGAAAATTAAATGTCAAGTTTTTTGGGTTTTTTTCCGATAATATTTGGTATTTTTTCCCCAATTCTAAGAGAAAGGCAAATTTTTCACCTGAGTAAAAACAAGCCCTGATATATGAACTAACTTAAACTTTACATATCTGAATGTAAATATGATTATGCTGACTTTGTACATACACAAAACAAAGATACATTAATGGAAGATGTTTTCATTATAATCACAGTCTCTATAGCATGCATGCTGTTATCAAAGTTATATGTTGCATTTACATTACATGGTTGAATATTTTGTGTTGGCCATATCCATTTTTTTTTTCAAATACAATGTATTGTGAACAACTTGCAAAGAAAAATTTGAGATTTGATAATATACTCGACATCACTAATTCCGCGTCATCATTTATCTCACGGTAATGGCATATTTTCATGTGACCATTGTTATAATTGGTCAGAATTGACATATTTAATTCAAACACCTTAACAACGAAGGTTTTGTGCAAAATAATTTAAATCTACAGAATTTTACGTAAAACTGAACAACATTTTACAAACTTCTGCAAAAAACAACAATAGTCCATTAAAATTGTGCATACGTCTGAAACAATCATCATTTTCTAAATGTTCTTGTTTGTTGAAAAATTAAATTTTGAGTTACAATGTAAAAATACTTTTAATATTTAAAATTATGCAAAATAACTTAAAGAAATTTTAACTGAAACATGAAAAAACTGAAATAGAACACCATTACCGCGAGGTAAATGATGACATACTGTTTTCAAAATGGCCGACACACTGTTTACATCTGACAAATTAAAACTAATTTTGATTGAATATATTGTTGTTTCCTTGTGTCATATAGCAGAAAAATGACTAAATGATACAGTTTATGACAGTTTTTGTAGTGTAAGTTTATTGTTTGTGTTCTTTACTGTTTAAAGTGTTAAGTACCGTGAACTAAGAGGAGCACAGTATACATGTAGTAAAATGTTACAATGTTTTATTTTGTTAAAGGAAGGGTTTTCTTCCTGGTTCTCCTGGTTTATATCAATACAACAACTAGTTGAACTGGAGTACTATAAAAATACAGAATCACCCTTTATTATTTTGTTAGAATACAAGTTAATCTTAAAATTTTACCATATTTCCATATAAGATTTTCAACTATTCAATAAACATTTCTAAATTCAAAGACAGAATATGTCTGTTACACAGTCATAATAAGCAGCAAAAAATGTTTAATTACTAAACATGGACTCTATTTTTACTACAGTTTAAATGTTGATCAGACGTCATACGTATTTGTATTAAGTTTACCTATAAATCATATCTTGCTATTGTTCTTGATGGCATCAAAATAATATAAAATTAATTAGTATATTCTTGTTTTATTATTTTTGGAGGATATTATGATATCAGTAATAACTTGATGGAAACAGCTGTTGGTTATGTATGGTATATATAAGGTATATATAAGGTATATTATCAGTATAAATGCAATAAATGCATCATTTGATATGCAGCAGATAATGAACAGGTTTTATGCACCATATGTTACCATATGTTTAACTTGTTTGCCACACAAGGCTTTTCAATTTAACCCTAGCCTGTTTGTGACAACCAATGCTACCCATGCAATCCATGCATACAAAAACCAGCCAACCCATCTGATCATGCTCTCCACTGTTCACTATTCAGTCAGTACATATTTTAAAATTGTCCCTTAAAATAATAATTGGTGTTGTTCCAGAATGAAAAATGAACAAGTTATTTTCAGAAGCAGTCAACAGAATAAAGCCTGGTCATGCATGGATCAGTCTGGCAAATACTTAGCACATACAACTCCAGCAGGTTAAGAGGTTAAATCAGGAAAATGCCATAACATTTTAACCTGCCCTGTGGTATTTATTCTTATATCCTTCAATGTTGATATTTCAGCCAAAACAGAGTACCTCAGATACAGGGATCTATAAGAATTATACAGATACTCAAAGCCAGGTAAAATATACATATATAAATAATCTTTACTCTAACTTGTATAAATAGTTCACATGGATGCATTTATATATACACACTATACTTGCTCTATTATGTTAATGTAAATGATTTAAAAGATCATGATGAATACCTGTAAAATTATAAAGGGGCATGCTCTAACTTAATGTGAGTAGGAGGAAAGTTGAATGTAAAATTTTGATATATGAGATAAAATATTAATTTGTTTATTGTGCATTTTTATTAAGAATGTATAATTTTACCAAACTGCTGGTAATTTAATAACTGTAATTATCAACTTATTTTGATATTTATAAAAGTAAAATATTAATGTAAAAATACACACAATTTACTTAAAAGCTGGTTTTATTTATGATTAAAAATAAAGTAAGGTTTCACCTTGACAGTTGCAGTTCAATGAATATGATTACAAATAGTCTCCTCAATGTTGTTTATCATCATTTGTGGGCTTTTGAGGGAGTGTGCAACAGCAAGTGAGTGTGTGAGTGAATGAGTCTCAGCCCGGGTTTGAACCAGGTACCTTATGCTTATGAGGTAGAGTGCCGCATTTTGCCACTGCTACAATAATTTGGCTATTGGATGAACTTGGTACAAGACTACCCATCTAAAGATGATATTTAATCATGAAAGTAACAAAATTATCAAGTTCCTATGAACATTTATGTATGAGAAGATGATGCACTGTTTAAAGTAGAAGTATTATTTTTGTTGCTATTATCATACATGTATTTTATAATGACAGAATCTGGCCAGATTGTTGTACGAGTCAAAAGAGTACAGTAAATCTCTACAGTTTGAGGTGGATGATTTAAAACAAAAACTACATGATGCTAATGGTGACATTAAGGTAACAATGTTAATACACCTTGTGTACAGTTAACCTAGTTATTTTCCGTGCTTTTGTGAACTGGTTCTGCTTTACTGGTGATGGACATTATATAAGCTAGCTTCATAGCATCTTCAGTCCCTGACTAGAGTCAAGCTAGTTATGAGGGGCGAGAAATTTTAAATCAACTTTTAAACAGAAACATTTCTGTGACCACCACTCAGTTTGTGCAGGTATACTGTTATAAAATGATGATTAGATATAATACAAGACTTGAGATGAGGTTACATTTAGTATTAAGATAAAGTATGGTTTAGATGTTGTTGTAATTGTAAGATTTTAATTTATAGTTGTTACGAGAGCAGATTGCTCGGTCTAGGGTAGGGACAACAGACGAGGGATTGAGTACCCGACATTTCCCGGCTCACGAGAGAGAGGAGCTGGTACAGAAATTAGAGTCTTCCAATGAACAGGTTTGTTCTTAATTCTTAATTAATGTTAAATTTATAAATGGACTGTTCCAAATTTAAAGCAGGGTAAATCCATTTCAACATGTACATAATAATTTGACATTTATGTAGTTGGCAGAATATCATTTAGTTTTCATTTGTTAATGTCTGTTTCTAGTCTACTGATCAGTTATCATTAAAGATTGGTGTATGGTAACCTTGTGGTTGGTTTTTCTACCTTTCACCTAGTGGTCATGGTTAGAGTCTCGCTTGGACCAATACGTCACAAACATTTTGTTAACTTCGGATGAAGTTTACACAAACCTTAAAAACATAACATGTGTTGTTTATTCCACTTATTAATATTGTATAACATTTTATCTAATATGATACTAGTAAGGGAAGTGGATTTGAATTGAATTGACATCCGCATAATAAACATGGAATACATATTTTGTGAACAGAAATGTTGAAATTTCTAATCAATTCAAAAAATCTACCAGTACATAGATATATGTTATATTGTAAATGTTTTACAGTATTTACAACTAATAGTACATATGTTATATTGTAAATATTTTACAGTATTTACAACTAGAGAGAGATCTACAGACAGTGCTAGATGAGAAGGAAGAATTGGTAACAGAGAGAGATGTTTATAAAACAAAGTATGAGAGATTAAATCAGGAACTGAACTATATACTGAAAGGTCACGAGGATAGAGTTGTAGATATTGATGCTCTGATAATGGATAATAGGTTAGTAGTCTCGCAGTCATTGATTCATAATATGAACCGCGTCACGTCAAAACCAACATAGTGCATTTGCGACCATCATGGATCCAGACCAGCCTGCGCATCTGCGCAGTCTGATCAGGATCCATGCTGTTCGCCTACAAACCCCATTACAAGTAGAGAAACTGATAGCGAACAGCATGGATCCTGATCAGACTGCGTGGATGCGCAGGCTGGTCTAGATCCATGCTGGTCGCAAACGCACTGTTGATTTTGTCGTGACGCGGCTCATATGATCATTTGTCTCTTACCTATGACTCAGTTATAAACTATCATCAGATATACTGTAAACGGAGGATATTGAATGAGTGTAGGTTTAATACTGAATTTATTGAACAAGTTGAATAGATTATATTATGCCAGCCTCTGGCTAGCAAAATATTATTTTATTCAACGAGTTCAATAAATTTAGTTATGAGCCTACACGGATATAATATTCTATTTATCACATACCCAAAATAAAGACAGTTTAAAGTGCAAAAGAATCATTTTTCATTGACAGGCTTATAGTGTAAGGCTAATATTAAGCACGTCTTTACAATATGTTTGTATAACATAAATGATGTAACATCAAAATATATGCACAGCCGTGAAATATCATATTTACGTAGTTGAAAATCGGCACAGGTATATGATAAACTGTATGAATTAATGTTATAAAAGTGTAGGTTTTTCCAGTAAAAATTAAAATGCATTTATTGAATTCTTTACATGAATTATGATACACAATTATTTATTATAGATATCTGAAGGACAGATTGAAACAGATGGAGGATGAGAAACGTATGACAATGGCTGCTGTGTCAAAATACAAGGTTTGTACGTCTTTCTTTTTGTTGATGACAATAATACAGACAATACAGATTCAGGCCACTAAGGACCAAAAAACTATTTTTTGTAGAGGCCGAATATAGCCTCTTTTTTTTCCCTAGTTTGGTCCTCAAAATTCCCCAGTCTTGAAATTTCCCATAGAATTTAGAATAAAATGAAATGATGGTGTTGTATTAAGGTCTTTTACTGCCTTATTAGTATTTCCCAGTGCTTTTTGCTTTTCTATTTTGAAAAACTTGTTAAAAGTTTGTGTTAAATTTGAGACCCCTTTTCCCAAAGTATGCCAAAATCATGCATATTTTCCCCAAGAAAAAGGCTGAGGCCCTTCCCCAAAAATGGTGTTTTGGCCCTTAGTGTTGAAACTGACCAGTCTAATCAAACCGTTAGCTTTCTACACAATTTCTTTATATTTATGATTATATATCCATATAAACATGTGGAAAGAAGTTTAAAAATTTGTTGCTATGAAACTTTGAACTGCTTGGTATCTAATCTACTAACTAATATCTCAAGAGTGTGTTCCCTGTGTTCTGCACTATACTGGAGTTTTATAAATGTGATCCCCTGTATATTAACAATTAGTGGTTTGTAATATGTTTTTTAGCGTATATTAGAGAAGAAGAAATCTAAAAGTTCAATGAAGTTTGGTCAGAATAGAGGAGGTGGAATGGTGATAACAGAGAAACAAAGTTAGTATATGTGTGGTCTTCTTAATCTAAATGCTGCTGAAAACTTATGATGACTTTATTTCCTTTTGAAGTATTTGACACATACAACAAAAGCTTGATGCATATCGCTAATAGTGCTAGCAGATTAACCCTTTAGGTCCTGCTGAATTTCATAAATGGATTCATCCAGCTTTTATTATGAATTTTGGGGATACCAAGATGTAAATTTAAAGGTAGTCAACAGTGTCTATTCTAGGAATTGAAAAATAGGGGTGATTTTCCCCCCTCTATTTCAAAAAAGGGGGCGATTTTCAAAATCAAAGGGTGCCAATATAAACTGCCAATGTTAAATCGTCTGCATTAAGTTTACACTGAGGCGTTCAACCGATGAAATAATTAAAAAGACAATATTTATTTAAGGCAGCAGAAGTTGTCCCCCCTTAATTTTTAAACGAAAACAAATTATTGCAGAAATGCCGCGATTGATTTTAAAGGGATTGGCAATACAAATAATCGAACTATCTTTCACGTCTAGATCGTAGCCAAGCTAGGAATTGCCTCATTTTTCTTGATTATTTACTACACTAAAATGGCGCCCAACTGTCAGACCTAGCACACTAGTTCCGGTCGATCCGAACATTCCGTTAATTTCCGTCAACTCACGTAACCAGTACCATACGGTACTAAATCATTATAATTAGCTTACAGTTACCTCCCTTCGGTTTTCGGTGTAAATGTAAACAAAACAACCAAATATAATGCGGGATGGAAGTTTTACGGTTTTATTAACTGTTTTTATAGATGCGCGATTTTCACGCACATGATTTTGAATTGTGCGCGATCTGTTAAATACTAGCGTGAATCGCGCAATCGCGCGTCCTAGAATAGACACTGAGTCAATCAACAGTGTGGGATTTGAACCAATGACAATTGGCTTTATATTAAAATAAACACACAATTATTTTTAACATTTTATGAGGCAGTTATCATACTAGGTTGTATTATGATAATGGAGGTATAAATAACATTGTGTATTTGATCCTTGTCATTGTACTGCTGGATTTAAGATTTTACCAAGATACAAAATTGAAAAATTAAATTAAAAACATTGAAACATCTTCACGTATAAATGTTTAGTAAATAAACTTGGTGCTTAGCTGTCTTAAATGAAAGTTTTGCTAAATATGTAAATAATAATGTTTGTCACCTACCTTTTGCCATGGTATTGCAAGGCTGTACATATATTTTCATGTGACATTTTTTGCACTATACATATTAATTGTAAAGACGCCCAAAATGTTTGCATCTTCCAGCAAATGTTCTGTATATATTTATGTTTAAGCAATTGTTTGGTATGTTAGTATGTAGTAACAAACATTGTATATATTACAGTACAAGAAGTGTTACAATCACAACAGTCAGTATTAGGTACACCACAAGCTATATCAGACTGGCAGGCTCTAGCAGCATCACTCCTAGAATCTGTTAATGATAAAAAACTCGCATTGTATCATCAGAGAAAAACTAACAAGTTAGTACATTTGTTAAATATAATAAAATTATATCATTGTTAAAGCGTGTAAAGGAAATATTTACAAACTATTTTAGAAGTATTCTTTTTCAAGATAAAATTTTTGAAGCAAATAGATAGCTATATACACATTGAGATATATTATTTCTTTTTAAAATTATACTACTTATGATAAAAAAAATATACATTTGATAAACTCTATACTCCAATATAGATTTGCACTTGTCCGTCAGTGCAATTAACGTGCTGTCACAAGGACCAAATAGTGGAACTTGGGGTATCTGTGTCCTATAGACATATTTCTAGTTAATATTGCTTCATGACTTATGATACAGTAGAAAAATGTATTGAAAATTGGATATTAAAATCTCCTGTTATTGATTGACTATACATGTATCACTAATGATTCAAATAAATGTTGCAAAAATATTGTTAGATACTTAGTTTTCTGTATATCATTAGTTAGATAGTGAAAATAACAATCTTTAATGAAAAGATATCTGTATTATATATTTAAATGAAAGCAAAAAATCATTTATTTGTTTATTTGATTTAGAATTTTAGGGAATAGAGTAGCAGAGCTTGAAAAGAAAATAAAAACATTAGAATGTGCTGGACTGTGGAGTATTCCAGGTAAGTTTTCACAGGTAAATTCAAGTCAAATACTCTGTTTTTATGTTGTTTTTAATCAATTTCATTTGACAAGAAGATAAACTTAGATATAAATTAAATACAGCACGCTAAAGGAGTGTCTGTAGCTGGGTGGTTATGGTTGTTGACTTCAAACCCTGGGACACAGTGGGTTCAAATCCTGCCTGGGCCTTTTGGATTCTTTGAAGCTATTCAGTCACATACAGAACATCAGTGGTTCTACTCAGTAAAGCTGGAAAGTGGCCATTTCACCATAACAGTGTTTGTGCCACTTGACACCAAACAAACAAACAAATTAAGATTGAATGATTGAAAAATATAACATTAGAGGAATAATATTGATATTAAATTCTCAAAATGTGAGCCTAAAAAGAAAAGAGAAAATCCTGTAAGATTTTCATTTTTTTTAGCTCACCTGTCACATAGTGACAGGGTGAGCTTTTGTGATCGCTTTTCGTCCGTCCGTCGTCCGTCCGTCGTCCGTCCGTAAACTTTTGCTTTAAATGACATCTCCTCATAAACCACTGAGCCAATTTCATCCAAACTTCACAGGAATGTTCCTTTGGTGGTCACCTTTAAAAATTGTTCAAAGAATTTAATTCCATGCAGAACTCTGGTTGCCATGGCAACCGAAAGAAAAATCTTTAAATATCTTCTTTTAAACAACCCTATGAGCTAGAGCTTAGATATTTGGCATGAAACATCTTCTAATGAGTGTCTACCAAGTTTGTTCAAATAAAAGCCCTGGGGTCAAAATTGGCCCGGCCCCAGGGGGTCATTGATTTTCCCTATATGCATATAGTAAAAACTTAAAAAATCTTCTTTTAAAGAACCATAAGAGCTAGAGCTAAGATATTTGGCATGAAACATCTTCTAGTGAGTGTCTACCAAGTTTGTTCAAGTAAAAGCCCTGGGGTCAAAATTGGCCCCGCCCCGGGGGGTCATTGATTTACCCTTTATGCATATAGTAAAAACTTAAAAAATCTTCTTTTAAAGAACCGTAAAGGCTAGAGCTAAGATATTTAGCATGAAACATCTTCTAGTGAGTGTCTACCAAGTTTGTTCAAATAAAAGCCCTGGGGTCAAAATTGGCCCCGCCCCGGGGGTCATTGATTTTTCCCTATATGCATATAGTAAAAACCTTAAAAAATCTTCTTTTAAAGAACTGTAAGAGCTAGAGCTTAGATATTTGGCATGAAACATCTTCTAGTGAATGTCTACCAAGTTTGTTCAAATAAAAGCCCTGGGGTCAAAATTGGCCCTGCCCCAGGGGGTCATTGATTTTCCCTATATGCATATAATAAAAACTTAAAAAATCTTCTTTTAAAGAACCCAAAGAGCTAGAGCTAAGATATTTAGCATGAGACATGTTCTAATGGATGTCTACCAAGTATGTTCAAATAAAAGCCCTGGGGTCAAAACTGGCCCCGCCCCGGGGGTCATTGATTTTCCTTATATGTGTATAGCAAAAACTTAAAAATCTTCCTTGAAAAAACCCAAATAGCTAGAGTTTAGATATTAAGCATGAAACATCTTTAAGTAAATATCTACAATGTTTGTTCAAATAAAAGCCTGGGGGTCAAAACTGTCCCTGCCCGAGGGGTGTCATTGTTTTTAACTATATGTGTATAGTAAAAACTTAAAAAATCTTCTTTTAAAAAACCCAATGAGCTAGAACTTAGATGTTTTGCATGAAACATCTTCTTATGGGTGTCTACCAAGTCTGTTCAAATAAACAAATAAAAGCCCTTGGGTAAAGATTGGCCCCGGGTTGGGGGGTGGGGGGCTATATACAGGTGAGCGACCTCAGGGCCATCATGGCCCTCTTGTTTATTTACAAAGCATGTGGGCACAGCCATGTCTGTTTATTTAAAGTTAAAAAAAAAAATGCAATGAGTATTAAAATATTTTTTTCTGCTCTTTCTCATATTATAATTGTATTAATTTTGTTTAATATATTGATTCAAAAATATAATTTATTACATACAAATTGTATTGGTAATTGAAAGTTAGATATTAGAATTGTATTAATTAAACCGCAACTAAATAATGATATATTAAAGGTAACATCATACATTGTTTACAGGAAATATTTCAAGCAGTCTGGAGAAGTTAAAGAATGATTGTGTTGATATAGAGATGTTGACACCACGGAAACAGTCAGACACAGACTCAGAGAGATTATCACCATCCGAGGGCGAGAGAGAAAGTGAACTAGAAACTGTAACACCTCTTGATAGGTATGTTTGGTAATTACTGAGTTACTGAATAACAATATTTCAATAAGTTACTGAGTTACAATATTCTGTTAGAACAGGATAATTCGATTATATAAAGGTTGAGTGGAACTTTTTTTATGAACTATGTGAAAGTTTATCAGATCTAAAAGACAACTGTTTGAATGTAGATAAACAATGTTATTAGATTAGTGAATGAAAAAATGTCTTTTTTAGATCTTCATCTAGCCTTTTCCTGAAAAAAAATTAAATAAACATTTTCTGTCATACATTCATTGTGAATTAGGAATAAACTGTCGGTCTATGTAAGCTATAGTTGATCCGAACATAGTTAAGTTATAATTCAAATTGTACCTGCTGAATATAAAATAACATATTTGCATTGCTTAAATTAAGAAAATCAATTGGAAGTTTAAGGATTTTCCCATATTAGAATACAGCAAATCAGCTACCAACAATAAAGAGTCTGGTCAGACTGTGCTGATGTCTGGCTGTATAATGATGACATTGTCTAATCATAGGAAGTTTCAGCAAGTTAAGATTATCACTGTTTAATTTACAGTATAGAGAATTCTCCATTGACAAGTCCTCAGCATATTGCCAAAACTACTTCTAGTCATTTAGAACTGACCAATCTGGACACTGACCTTGACCTACTGCCTACAAAAGAAGTTCCTACCAAACCTCAACATTCAGAACAGTCTGGTAAGACATACATGAATAAGTATTCAGTTGTTGTTATAATGTATTCTTTTACAGTGTCAGATCAACTTAGTTGCTTTTTAGACTAATTGTTAACTTTCTTTTAATCTTAAAATTGATAGAAGGTACATAATAGTCTATACTGCGGACCTAGTATATAAATCAGAACAAACCAGGGCCCGAGGTTATAAAGAAATTCTCCAAGCTCAAACTCAGATCTCTCGTATATGATTGGTCAGAAACCGTCACAAAATGTACACAGTCCAATGGAAATCCTGAGATTTGAGACAGGACTCAGACTGAAGTTTTATAACCTCGAGGCCTGGTCAATGTCTGACAAAAGTTAGCCAACAGTTTAGTGTATATAAATTATGTTGTATATCTAAGCAGCTAATCTGTCATACTGAAAGTTTTATATTGTATTGTGATCCTACTATATAAATACAACTTTATTAACCAAGTTTTCAACGAAAACCGGGTTATTGTAATGCCGAAGCTGGCGGGCGGGCGGGCGTCAACTTTTGGTTTCCGCTCAATAACTTTAGTTTGCTTTGGCCTATTGACACCAAACTTGGTGTGTAGGTAGCTTATATCAAGAGGCACCTTGGGATTGCTACCCAGGTGTCTGTGATCAAGGTCAAGGTCACTGTTACTAAAAATAAAAATTCAGTTTCCGCTCAATAACTTGAGTTTGCTTTGGCCTAATGACACCAAACTTGGTGTATGGATAGCTTATATCAAGAGGCAGCTTGGGATTGCTACCCAGGTGTCTGTGATCAAGGTCAAGGTCACTGTTACTAAAAATAGAAATTCAGTTTCCGCTCAATAACTTGAGTTTGCTTTGGCCTATTTACACCAAACTTGGTGTATGGATAGGTTGTATCTAGAGGCAGCTTGGGATTGCTGCCCAGGTGTCTGTGATCTAGGTCAAGGTCACTGTTACTAAAAATAGAAATTCAGTTTCCGCACAATAACTTGAGATTGCTTTGGCCTATTGACACCAAACTTGGTGTATGGATAGGTTATATTAAGAGGCAGCTTGGGATTGCTACCCAGGTGTCTGTGATCAAGGTCAAGGTCACTGTTACTTAAAATAGAAATTCAGTTTCTGCTCAATAACTTGAGTTTGCTTTGGCCTATTGACACCAAACTTGATGAATGGGTAGCTTATGTCAAGAGGCAGCTTGGGATTGCTACCCAGGTGTCTGTGATCAAGGTTAATGCATTTAGTTTTCATGTTATAACTTGAGTTTGCTTTGACCTTTTGACACCGAACTTGCTGAGTGGCAGCTTTGGATTGCTACTTAGATATCTGGGAGCAAGGTCAAGGTAATTTGCTTACAATAGAATTTTTAGTATCTACTCAATAACTTCAGTGCACTTTGACCTATTGTTTGCTGTCACATCAAAACTTGGTCGTTGAAAACCTGGTTTTCGTCGCATTGCGGCGCTTCTTGTCTATGAATATGTTCCAGGAAAAAAAGAGTATCTTTTTATATGTATGGCTCCATCCATTGTTTTTGTAGTTCATGAATTTTAGTGTAGATACTTGTTTAAAAATTTATGAAAATATTCCTTCGGATGGGGTTATGGTTATTATGGTAAATTTAGTTTATAAAAAATGTTAACTAGCAAAATGTAAATCACTTTTGAATTTACATTTTGAGGGATCATTTATTTTGCTAATACATACTTTTACCGAATGAGATGAGTGTATCTTTTTATTGATCAAGTATACAATAAATGATATCTCTTAGACATTTATTGTAAAGGGGAAAAAGTGTTTTACTTTCTATTTAATTTACTTGCAGATACCTTCCAATACCCAGCAACAAAAATGTTTGGAATGTCACCGAGTGATAAATTCTCACATGGAACAGATCATGAAATTGACAAGATTAAAGATATTCTACTAGCTAATGAAGCTAAAGCTATCAGCCAAGGTATTGATAGTCAATATGACAAGATTAGGGCAGATGTGGAACATCAACATGTAGGTGATACTAATGTTGAAGATAAATGTTTAGTTGATTTATCAGATCAGGAGCTAACTGTATCTGCTCAAAGAAGTGACTATAGTGAAGTAAACGGTGTTCTACAAAATACTGAAGATGTAATTACAGCTGTAGATATATCAGGTGACATTAGTGACAAACCACAATGTGTTCATGTTTATAATCAGGATAAACTAGACGATACTGTTGATGCTGATGATGTTAACAAAGCTGATGATGTTGATGACAAGGATCAAGAGTTAAGGAACTCATCAGCAACTGATAGAGGTTCTGCTGATAGTGATGGTGACATTGATGAAGTAGATAATGAAGAACTTGATGGATTCTTAAATGATGATGATTCAGAAGCATCTGAAAAAGTTGGACTGTTAATAGAAAGTGTGACAAAGAAGATGTGCAATATTTCCCATCAAGATAGTAAAGATAGGGAAACAGATACATGCAGTAATGATAGAGAGAAAGACAGGGAGACTAGAGGTTTAGATAGTCGAGGTCGAGGTAAAGGTAGGAAGGTGAGGAGAGAGAAGGAGAGAAGTAGATCAGGAGACTCGGACACTGATATCCATCCATTGTTAAATAGTCCAGGGAACACAATAGATGAAAGTATAAATAGTGTTGATGAGCCACACGATGTGCAATGTTAATTATGTAAAATGATTTAAACTGATGTTGCTGTTTAAACTTCTGCATATTGTTCTAACACCCACATAGCAATACTGTACTAAAAATGTTCCTGCTTATTGATTTCTTGATATATTCATGTCATTACTCTATCATACATTAAGGGAAAAATCTTTATATCCATTTTACTAATGTTCAACTCATCTAGACAGCCTGCATGTTTTATGATGGTACTTGTTCATGTCAACTCAGCACTCAGTATAATATAAGAAAGTTTCTAATTTAAATAACATGTAAGACTATGTAAAACTTGTTTCAGGGTAACAAGATACTATATCAGCTTTCTGAATTCCAACATTTATTTATAAGAAGGTTGCAACAATTGCTCTGATAATTGATATGAAATTTGAAATACATTTAGAATAACATGTGAAATGTGTTGTAGGTTTTTACACATACTTGCTAATTTTGTTTTAGAATTTAAGTCTTGTATTTTACTATTTATATCATGTATGTTATATTTACATACATGTATATAAAATTTCAATTGGCTGTAATGTTCATCAATCATCACCACAGCATCTGTGGCAAGGTGGTAATGTTGTTGACTTCAAACCACTTCAGGACTCATACTACTGTAGCCTCAAGCTGTGCCAGCCTCTCTGGAATTTTTCATGCGTGAAAGCTATCTAGTTATCCTACAGAATGTCTGTGGTTCTACTCAGTAGAGGTACATCAGATATACTCTGTTTAGGAAACAGATATCAATTATGAATGCATAGGTGTTTGTAGAATAATGCAGGGTTTGAGTTCAGATGTGCAGGATTATATTCACAAAGCTACATTATGCGGAGAAGTGATTTTACTGACATTAATTTATTTTTTTCGCATCACATATGACATGTAACCATTCCATTTTTATGCCATGCATATATGGTGTAGCAATGCACTTAACTGCACTATGTTTTTAAAAGGGGAACAATGTGAATTGTATCAGAATATTTTCATTATGATATATAAGGTGGTGTATTATATAGTATGGAGAAGGTATGGCTCAATGACAGAATGTTGTAATAGTTGCAGCACACTCTCTAGTACTACTTTTACATGTTTGTTCATATTTTGATATTCTTTAACTTCTATTTTATTCAGACCTGAAATCCATACATATTCTTTGTGTAAAGCATTATAATTTAGGGAGATAACTCATGAATATATTGTTTATTGTTTTGTTACAGAGTAGCTTCCCTTTGATAATAGATCTGAAATTATTAGTATATATTTTACAGAAATTTAAGTTTAAATTATTTGTGTTGTGAGAAAATGTGATCTCTTTGTTTTGTTATAAATTGTTATAATTTATTTACATTTTTCTTTATTTTACATCAATATGACTGTATTTTTTTCACATTCCAAAAGTCAACATTTCTTCTGACATTATCTCATATGTCTAACACTTCTCTCTGAGAATTACCAAAGCTTAATTAAAGTTGAAGATCATGTTGTAAGATTAAATGAAAAACATATTAACTAAATTTATTAAATTGTAGTCACTTGAAACAATTAATGAGTGACTCACCGAAGAAGAGTGTTGTTAATTTTAAGTTCAATAAGTACAGAACTTCTTACAGTCCAGAAAAAAACAATAACTTGTTCTTTAATGTTCAAGGACCAAGCACTATTATAAAAGGATCTGGTTTTAATGTCTTATTCCAAAAGAAATATTTACTACTGTAGCTAGAAAAGTGGTTGATTGAACTTGTGACCCCTGGATCTATAGTAAGACAGTGTTACCACTGGACTCCTGTACCTTTCATATGAACACCAAGTGTGGTGAAAGTTAAAATAATATATATTTTTTTTTGTTTGTTCATTATTCAATTTAATATTATTTTTTTGTAATGAGTGACATAATTTGTAGTGCAATAGAAAAAACAATATTGTTGTTGATTTACTTGTTTTTAGTTTATTCAATATGAATAACAAAAGTTTATATATTGAGAATCATTTTTAATGCTGTTTACATGGTTATGAAATAACAATATTTAGATATTCCATAAAGTATCTTAGTTTTCTTTCACATTATTATTTTATTTCCATGTCCTGAAAATCATGTGTCTATTTATGATATAATTTTTGCTCTAATACTGTCTGTTTACTTTATCCCTCTGTCTCATCAATCTTGTCTATTAATGATTGGTAGTAGTTTTGTCTTTGATAGTAAATTGGCTTGACGTTTATGTTATATGAACTATCATACTACATTTCTATCTGAAACATATCTATATATATAAAATCAGTACGGGGGAGAGTAACGAAAAACAAAAGTGAAATGGTAAAAATAACAAATTTGATTTTAGTCTATTCATGAGATATAATGAAAGGTGCAACATTTCCGGGACCCCCTAGCACCAGCATCTGTACCCACTATTACCAACTTGAACAACAATCAATATTTAGCATTTTAAAGGAACTCCACTGAGGTTAAAAGCCTAAAAACATTCAATTTTATTTTTTCACATCGATAAACATGAGCATTTAAAACAGAAATATAAATAAAATATAATTGAGAATTATACAAGAAATACATTGAAAATCATATGTTTGTGCTATTCTCAGTCCAAATTGAGTGAAAAGCATTTCAACGCTTTTCAATTTTGGGTCATTTTTCACTATTATGATAATTATTCTGGAAAAACGGAGCGAGGTAATGATCTGAAACTTTGCACATAAGTTATTAGTCTAGATCTACATCAAATGGAGTAATAATCTCAAATAATTATTTCCAGTCCCGTCATGTCAAAAAACCTCAGTGGAGTCCCTTTAATATTAAGTATTGGATACCAAGAATCAATTTTCTTGCAGGACTAGAAAAATATCCCAACACTGAGATGAAGTATTGGGCAATATTTCACAACACTTCACTTAGAAACTGATGTAATTTCCACTATTTTTATCAGCAACTGAGAAGAATGCTATTTTAATTTAGTTTTATATTTATTCTTAAAAAAGACTTTTATGTGTCACCATAATCAACATCCTTTAATGTTTAAATGTTGTTTTATGTAAAAATATTTTGCCAAAAAGGAATGCATTGTTTACATTTAGTTGTTGTTTAGATTAAAATTAATCATTGTTAAAGTCACATGTAATACATTTTATTGTTACAGCATATTATATATGAAGAAACTCCTACGCTTCTAGCAGATGCTCTCTATATTTCCAGCCTGGGGAATTCATTCCTGTTCATAAAACACCTAAAATGGTTATCAAAAATAGTTACAGGCAATAAATATTTCCCTTAAAAGCTTTTTGGCCTTTTTTCTGTGTATATACTTATCTATATAATCTTTGACAGGTTATCCATAATCTTATAGTTGGCACAAAATTGGCGCTTATTTTTTCTTAAAAATGGTATTTTGTTGTTAGATTAGTTTATGTAATATCATGTAATGGTTGACCTAATCTAGGAAATCAAATTTTAATTTATCTCTATCTGACCTATTAGTGATTGAAATTTCCATTTCACTAACTGTACAAGATACTTCATGTACGTAGTTTTTAGTTGTAAAATGATTGCTAAGTGAATCATAGATGATTTAACTTCAAAGTAGATGATTCACTTTTGTTGTTGTAATATTTACTGTCTAAAACATTAACACTATATTTTTTTAAGACTTGTATGTATCAGATTTGTTTTGTTGTGAATTTGTTATAGAAGTCTGAAGAGCAGACATTTAGTTTGTTGTTATCTGTTACATCAATATTAAACTTGCTGGAATTGATATCTCTTGTTGTTTATTTATGGCCAATGTGTTTGATTACTATTCTTATCCTTCCATGCAGCATCTGAATGGTACAGTTTTGGCATTCGGGATATTTCTCCAAGTAAAGGAACTTTTAGGTCCAAAAGCCTAAAGACATAAACATTGCTTTTCTAACATTGATACAAGATACAAGAAACTTTATTTTAAGTCGGTTTACATATTACAATAAACATTATTAGACTGGTGGGATTTTTAGTACAAGCAGGTAGTTGGGCTTACTTACCTATTTCGAATACGCTGAATTCATTTTTTGCTCTACCACGGCTGTATTTTTAGTCCTTGACCTTTAAAAATCAATTTCAAAATGGCCGCCATTGATTTTTTAGCTCACCTGTCACAAAGTGACAGGGTGAGCTTTTGTGATCGCTTTTCGTCCGGCGTCTGTCCGTCCGTCCGTCCGTCGTCCGTCCGTAAACTTTTGCTTTAAATGACATCTCCTCATAAACCGCTGAGCCAATTTCATCCAAACTTCACAGGAATGTTCCTTTGGTGGTCACCTTTAAAAATTGTTCAAAGAATTTAATTCCATGCAGAACTCTGGTTGCCATGGCAACCGAAAGAAAAATCTTTAAATATCTTCTTTTAAACAACCCTAAGAGCTAGAGCTTAGATATTTGGCATGAAACATCTTCTAATGAGTGTCTACCAAGTTTGTTCAAATAAAAGCCCTGGGGTCAAAATTGGCCCCGCCCCAGGGGGTCATAGATTTTCCCTATATGCATATAGTAAAAACTTAAAAAATCTTTTTTTAAAGAACCCAAAGAGCTAGAGTTAAGATATTTGGCATGAAACATCTTCTAGTTAGTGTCTACCAAGTTTGTTCAAATAAAAGCCCTGGGGTCAAAATTGGCCCCGCCCCGGGGGGTCATTGATTTTCCCTATATGCATATATTAAAAACTTAAAAAATCTTCTTTTAAAGAACTGTAACAGCTAGAGCTTAGATATTTGGCATGAAACATCTTCTAGTGAATGTCTACCAAGTTTGTTCAAATAAAAGCCCTGGGGTCAAAATTGGCCCCGCCCCAGGGTGTCATTGATTTTCCCTATAGGCATATAGTAAAAACTTAAAAAATCTTCTTTTAAAGAACCCAAAGAGCTAGAGCTAAGATATTTAGCATGAAACATCTTCTAATGAGTGTCTACCAAGTTTGTTCAAATAAAAGCCCTGAGGTCAAAACTGGCCCTGCCCCAGGGGGTCGTAGATTTTCCCTATATGCATATAGTAAAAACTTAAAAAATCTTCCTTTACAGAACCCAAAGAGCTAGAGCTAAGATATTTGGCATGAAACATCTTCTAGTGAGTGTCTACCAAGTTTGTTCAAATAAAAGCCCTGGGGTCAAAATTGGCCCTGCCCCGGGGGGTCATTGATTTTCCCTATATGTATATAGTAAAAACTTAAAAAATCTACTTTTAAAGAACCCAAAGAGCTAGAGCTAAGATATTTAGCATGAAACATGTTCTAATGGGTGTCTACCAAGTATGTTCAAATAAAAGCCCTGGGGTCAAAACTGGCCCGTCCCGGGGGTCATTGATTTTCCCTATATGTGTATAGCAAAAACTTAAAAATCTTCTTTGAAAAAACCCAAATAGCTAGAGTTTAGATATTAAGCATGAAACATCTTTAAGTAAATATCTACAAAGTTTGTTCAAATAAAAGTCCGGGGGTCAAAACTGGCCCTGCCCAAGGGGTGTCATTGTTTTTAACTATATGTGTATAGTAAAAACTTAAAAAATCTTCTTTTAAAAAAAACCAATGAGCTAGAACTTAGATGTTTAGCATGAAACATCTTCTTATGGGTGTCTTCTACCAAGTCTGTTCAAATAAACAAATAAAAGCCCTTGGGTAAAAATTTGCCCGGGGGGGGGGGCAATATACAGGTGAGCGACCTCAGGGCGATCATGGCCCTCTTGTTTAATTTTACTTTAATTTTCCAATGGGCGAGTTTTAAACATATTTTTTGGCATTTTAATTAAAGGCATTTTTAATTTTAGTCTGCTGAAGTGTGAACGAGAAGAATAGATGCAAAAACAATAAAATTTATTGCGGCAGCCATCTTGGATTTCAAAATGGCTGACAATTTCCTATGTTCTATACACTGTTTTATAATTAAAGTAAACAAGCACGAGAAGACATTTTACCAGGCATGTTTTCTTTTATTAGAAAAGCAGTGATACTTATTAAGACTTCCAAGCGCAGATTTTGAAAAACATCCATTAAAACTACAATATTTATGGTGCAAAAAGGTCACAATTTATACCCTAATACAACGTAAATGAGAGTCATATTTGCGTTCACTTTAACATTGAGATGTTATTTTTATAATACTAAGAATACAATTCATGTTCTTTAAATTATTGTGATGTTTTTTAAATTGGATTCGTACCGCTCTGAGGGGGACCTGCTCAAATGTCTGTTCGTCTGTCTATCTGTCCGAGCTTAGGGGTATTTGCAATAACAATTAGGCGTTTAGATTAATTCCGTATACCCCCAACCTATAGGATGAATCATTGGTTATGGGAGAGAAAAGGCTGCTTTTGGAGTAAGAAACAAACATTAAGATAACAGACATATTCACAAATCTCTCTCAGAGCTTGTCCCTGTCTGTCTGTTTTAATCTCGTCCATATCTGTCATTTTTCGTTAGATTTTGAAATAATTGCATTAATGTGTGGCACATTGATACAATGTCATAAGAAAGACCCAGGTTTGAAGCTCAACTCTTCAAGTAAGACTTGAAAGTGCTTGAAAAAAGATGTGCATTTAAGTATTCTGTCATTAAGAGATGGATTTTGAAACAAAAAGTTAAGCATAATTATACGGCCTATAACGGATTGGGAAATGATATTCTTTATATTATTACTTATTCTTCAAACAGGGATACCATGAAAATTGTTTGGTTATTTCTTATGTCAATGTCAATTGCGCAAGAACATGTACTGGAACGTGTAGTGATTGAGAGCCAATTCAACAGTCCAAAGATCAGGGTCATGTCTATCAAAAAAGACAAGTTGGTAATAGTTCATTGGTGGGGAATCCGATCAACAATTTTTCATGCACGACATGATATTTAAAAAAAGTCTTAGTATTTCCAAAAGTAATATAGGAATCGCCATCCAGGCTGGCATTCGAAAAATATATATGTATTTTTTTTCATGAAATAGACTACTTTCCTGAATAACAGAGTTAATGTTTCTTATTGTAAGAGAAATATTCCATATGGTGTTTATACCATGGAAGCCCCTACATACTAGTGCCGAGCTTCGTGCATGAGGATAGTATTTCATTTGATTATATAGATAACCCGCCAAGAACATGGTGGTTGAGGCCCCTGTGTTAGGACTTTTGTCGTTTATTTGGTTATCATGTGGTATTAAATTATCTGTTTTGATTGACCTAGAGCAGGCGGTGTACGGGTAAAAATATTTAAATCTTGTTAATTGTATATGCCGCTGTCCTGGAACGACAATAACTGCGTAAATGTGTAATTTGAAAAGGTCGTGTCATGTACAAACAGGGTATGTCTACAGTTAAACTTCTATATCATAAATCATGATATAAACGTAACAAGGTGGTTGTGTCCGATCTATAACTTTCTCATTCATTGATGTCTTTTGAAATAATAATTCTGCATGAATATATGGCACATTGGTACAATGGGTCAAATGTAAACCCATCTGATGATGTAAATCAAAGATCAAAATCATAATTTCACTT